TCTTTCCCTTGCAGGCCTGACAGCAAGTGCAGTTGCAGCTTTAATCCTCATGACATCCTCCATCATGTCTGTAGTGGGGTCTTTGTACCTGGCCTACATCCTGTACTTTGTGCTGAAGGAGTTTTGCATAATCTGCGTCATCACATATGTGCTGAACTTCATTCTTCTTATCATCAACTACAAACGACTAGTTTACTTGAATGAGGCCTGGAAACGGCAACTGCAGCCCAAGCAGGACTAACCACCTGATGAACTCTTAACTGACAGTCTGAAGTCCCTTTTTCCATTAAGTTTATTTTGCAGCAGTTTGGTTGTTGTTGTTGTTGTTTTTTTAATTCTTCACAACAGACACTTTCCCTAAGAATCTTAAACTGATTTTTTAAAATCCTGTAAATTAGAAGGAGCTCTAGTTATTTTCTGTGTCAATCTTCATTTTAAATATGGATACAAAAAAAAAAAAGAGGATACGCCGAGCCAATCAAAGACAAGCTTTAACTTTACTTTGGAGATGTTTCTGAAATAATAAATGTAGCCCTAGCCTCCTTCCCTCAATTGTAAAGTGAGCAACCATTGCTAGTAATTCTCTAATGTGTATAAATTACATTTCAGCTATAACAAATGTGATCATGACATGAAAATATTTTAGAATAGATACTGTATTAAATATTGCCATGTTTACAATATGTAATGTTTTTAGCTGATGGATTTAAACATGTAGATTCAACTAGAATCCATTCATGTGATATTTGTAAATAAAGGTAGAAATATTGGATCCATCCCTGCAGAACTTACTGTACAGTTTAGTTGAAGTGTAGCAATGAAGAAATGTCAGCTCAAGGTTGACTGAGGAAATAGTGAAAATAGTAAGTCCATACAGAGCATCTTGTGAAAAGCACTGAGAGCTGTGGGTCTAGCATTGACAGCAAAAATAATAGGGTGATTGGTTCCCTTTCATCTCCTTCCTCTGAAAGGAGGAAACTAAATTTGGACATTCAAGTCAAGCTTGTACCTAGTCATAAAACTGGATCAATTATAGCCTTACAGAATGAGTCATGAGACCAGACTTTCAAGTCCAAGGCCTTCAGGATACTAAAGATGGGAAAATGGGTAGATTTCTTTGGAGAAAAGCTGGAAATATTAATATGGCATTTTTAGGTAAAATCTCTTACAACAGTTGAATTTTCATGCAGATAATTTTCCTTAACATTGGTGCCAGTCAACCAAACAGTATTGACTTTGAAATCATCAGTATAAGCCCAGTCGCTCCAGAGTAGGATTGCTCTTGGGTAGCTCTGTAGCGTTTTCCCTGTTTCTTTCTACACTAATTAACCAGACATCTAGTTTAATTGTTTTAGAGTCAGATACTGGATTTGTAAACTTTAGAGCTGACACGCTGCTCAGTTTGCTTAACTGGGACAGGAGTACTAAAGGTAGAAATATCTCAAGGTGAAATACAGTACTCTTTCTAATAACTACCCAAAGGCAGAGTTTTTGGAAGTGATCTGAGTAAACCCAAATGAAATAGTGACAGTATGTTTCTATGGTTAACATCTTATATCAGATTGTTAAAAGTGCCTTCTGTCTTAAATCTCAAACCAAATATTTTGTGTGTTGAACTTGGGCAGAAGTGTCCTTCCTCCCTTTCTTAGCATGAAGTAGAAAACTTGCATTCTATAGAAGGGTTCTGTATGATCATTTTATTCCTTAGATTGAGAAGGAGTAGCCATGTTTTTGCCTCCAGTTCATTCATCATTATGTTAAAAAGAGACCGGTAACTTTTGAGTGCTTTATTTGCCTTCTTTTGAAGGGAGGGGACAGGCTCTGCTCTGTAAACTGTAACGTGCAGAGTCAGCAACTGTTCAGCAGTTTCCAACTAACTGTCATAATTGATGCAATGTATTCTTCTGGCCCAAGGCAGGTATAAAATCTGAGTTGTAATGTACTTTCAACCAGTTTAAACCAGTTTTGTAAAAGATAGCTTAATTCAGATTTCATCAAGGCATGTTCTCCCAAGAATGTGAATATTTCAATGCCTGTTTTATTATCTATGTATTGTTCTTGTTTCTATAGTTAAAGAACTCTAGAAAGCATTGATTAGATGTCTGATATTTATGGAGAAACAAGTCCTAATGCTGGAAAACCGTGCAACGAGGTCGTCTTGTAGCAGTGCTTCCCGTCTACCCAGCAGTTTACTGCTTCTCTTTACTCCGCTAGAGTGGAACTGGCTTCACGGTGAAGACTTCGTGGTATATATAACTCTGGTCGTGCTAAACAAGTTCCTCGTGCACCAATTTAAAATTGTTTTTCACCATATGTTGTATCAATCAGTAGAGTTAAAGCTTGTCTTGATGTTGCGTTCTTGCGAACATCTTCAACTCTTACATGAGAGAACATCAGTGTTCAGCCAGACCCTTTGAGTTTTTCCTTTGCTTTACTAAGCCTTGCGGAAACCACTGTTTCAGTTGTAGAAAAATTGTTGCCACATTCCTATGACCCCAGAATTAATATCCTTCTTTTCACTGGGTGATGACCATGTGCTGCCTGAAATACCAGCGTGGTGAGGCCTGTATCGCTGTAAGCAAAGGACCCGCCCCCGTCCCCCGCTCCCCCCGCTCCCCCATGCGTGTGATTTGGTATTTTTGCCCGGGAAGAATTTAGGCTTCCCTCTACATCCTCAATTACACCCCAGAAGAGGCGGAAAACCCCATGTTATAAAATCTGAGGGCTATTTTGACTATTTTATTTTATTTTTTATTTATTTATTTTTTTGCGGTACGCAGGCCTCTCACTGCTGTGGCCTCTCCCGTTGTGGAGCACAGGCTCTGGACGCGCAGGCTCAGCGGCCATGGCTCACGGGCCCAGCCACTCTGCAGCACGTGGGATCTTCCCGAACCGGGGCACAAACCCGTGTCCCCCGCATCGGCAGGCGGACTCTCAACCACTGCACCACCAGGGAAGCCCCCTATTTTGACTATTTTAGACAGAATATTTAAACACTGCAACATTATTAGCCACCAATGTGGAAGAACCGATTAGGGAAGAAATTGAATTTCTGCTTCTTGGTTTTCGAAATGATTTGTAACAACGAAGCCTCTTATCTATTTGACAGTCCTATCATTTGAAGAAATAAGAGAAGTTGTAGTTAGATGATAAATTCTAGGGAATCTAGGTGGTTTGGAGGATTTGGTATTTTTCATTGCAGCTAGTTGCTATCAGTGAGGGTAAACGTCTGGTGAAATAACTCAGGTTTAACTAGCTGTGTGCCAGGAATTACTTTTACTTGATGTATAGGGCCTCTCCTTAAATCCATTACTTCTAAGGATGTTGAAAGCATTGACTATTTTCTTACAAAGAGACAAAGATCTATCATTTGGTACAAGAGATCCTTGGACCTACTAGGTAGGATACAGGACCAAGACTACAGTGAAATTAAAACTGTTAGTTGGCTTTAGTTTTCTTGTATTTCATTTATTTTTAAGACTATCAGCAACAGTGCAAAGTCATCTTCAGCAAAGCTTGACACCAATGAATGCTGACAGATCTTGTCCCGAAAAATCAGTATTGAACAAATGCCAACAAGAAACCCACTATTATTTTTGGTAACCTATTTGGGAAGGAATACCTGATATTCAGTCTTTGTCCTCGTGTATTTCTCCCCAACAGGCAAGCACTGGTGAAACATTTCTATTCAGGTATTTTAGGCAGCACTTATGATTCCTAATTTGTGAGAGCTACCCTTCAATAAATCAAAGGGGGCGGGGGTAGGAGTCCAGGCTACTTGGTTAAACATTTTTTCGACAAATTAGCCCAGAAAAGGTGAAATGTTTTGTTATAAAACCGTCCCCCGCTCCCCCCGCTCCCCCATGCGTGTGATTTGGTATTTTTGCCCGGGAAGAATTTAGGCTTCCCTCTACATCCTCAATTACACCCCAGAAGAGGCGGAAAACCCCATGTTATAAAATCTGAGGGCTATTTTGACTATTTTATTTTATTTTTTATTTATTTATTTTTTTGCGGTACGCAGGCCTCTCACTGCTGTGGCCTCTCCCGTTGTGGAGCACAGGCTCTGGACGCGCAGGCTCAGCGGCCATGGCTCACGGGCCCAGCCACTCTGCAGCACGTGGGATCTTCCCGAACCGGGGCACAAACCCGTGTCCCCCGCATCGGCAGGCGGACTCTCAACCACTGCACCACCAGGGAAGCCCCCTATTTTGACTATTTTAGACAGAATATTTAAACACTGCAACATTATTAGCCACCAATGTGGAAGAACCGATTAGGGAAGAAATTGAATTTCTGCTTCTTGGTTTTCGAAATGATTTGTAACAACGAAGCCTCTTATCTATTTGACAGTCCTATCATTTGAAGAAATAAGAGAAGTTGTAGTTAGATGATAAATTCTAGGGAATCTAGGTGGTTTGGAGGATTTGGTATTTTTCATTGCAGCTAGTTGCTATCAGTGAGGGTAAACGTCTGGTGAAATAACTCAGGTTTAACTAGCTGTGTGCCAGGAATTACTTTTACTTGATGTATAGGGCCTCTCCTTAAATCCATTACTTCTAAGGATGTTGAAAGCATTGACTATTTTCTTACAAAGAGACAAAGATCTATCATTTGGTACAAGAGATCCTTGGACCTACTAGGTAGGATACAGGACCAAGACTACAGTGAAATTAAAACTGTTAGTTGGCTTTAGTTTTCTTGTATTTCATTTATTTTTAAGACTATCAGCAACAGTGCAAAGTCATCTTCAGCAAAGCTTGACACCAATGAATGCTGACAGATCTTGTCCCGAAAAATCAGTATTGAACAAATGCCAACAAGAAACCCACTATTATTTTTGGTAACCTATTTGGGAAGGAATACCTGATATTCAGTCTTTGTCCTCGTGTATTTCTCCCCAACAGGCAAGCACTGGTGAAACATTTCTATTCAGGTATTTTAGGCAGCACTTATGATTCCTAATTTGTGAGAGCTACCCTTCAATAAATCAAAGGGGGCGGGGGTAGGAGTCCAGGCTACTTGGTTAAACATTTTTTCGACAAATTAGCCCAGAAAAGGTGAAATGTTTTGTTATAAAACTATTAAGCATGGCCTAAGTACTAGGTGTATGATCTGTATAGTGTGTTCCATCAAAAATATTTATTACTAGTGCTTTAAGCTCCAGAGTAAACATTCATTTAAAATGGAGTTCACTGGGCAGATTTCCCCTTTAATATAGACAGAAATATTCTTTATCAGAGATTTAGGACACAGTTTTGCTAACTGGTAAAAACAAATGTAAATATGTAAGAATGTTTATTTGTTGCACATAACTTTTTGGTATAAAATAAATGTAGAAGTTACCTGTGGAAGTTGTGCTGCCCTCATTCTTATACTGCAGTACTGCATTTCAAAAAAGAAGCAGAAATGAATTCAGTCTTATAAATTATTCTTGAAATTGTTTCTGTAGCTTCATTTCTAGGTGTACTGAAATGTATTTCTACAGGTATTTCTACAGGTGTACTGAGTTGATTCTTCTTCTCTTAAATTATATGTAACTTAGAGAAGACATAAGCAGAATTCTCAGAGATTCTAGTTCTTGGAATTCCTGTTGGTTTACGATGTATGTGGTTGTCAAGAATCAATGAAAAAGATGTTACTGCTTACAGTTCTGTAAGCACATAGAATGTATTAATCAGCTCTTTTTCCACTGCTTTACTTTAGCTCATCTCGAACACTCCAGTTATAATCTTCTAAAAAGTTAACATCTGTAAGAAAGATGATATCATTTGAAATGCAGTTAGCCATATTTTATTGAATAGAACAAATACGCCCTGTGCTATAGAACCTTAGGACTTAAGAAATGGACCTTACCTCTAATTTGTAAAACATTTAAGTGTGTTTGTGATGTTTAATTTTTTTTTAATGTTTGTCAAGTAAAGAGTTTTATATATTATTCCTTGACATTAAACTGGAACACAAAACTTGATTACTCCAAGGGACTTAAGTTTAGTGGTAATGAAAGAAATATGTAACCACTAGAATTCCTAACTTATTATTTGAACTGACTACACTCTCATTTCTTAAAAATGGTCTAAAGACGGCCACTAAAATGAGGTTAAATTATCTGTACTGTTTCTTTCACGGAGCTTGGAAAGGAAGGGTAAAAAAGGGCATGTGTTGAGATGTGAAATCCCCCACAAGTGAAGTGGATCAAGTTCTGTATTAAGAATTGTATTGTTTCATGGTCTTCTATTTGATTGGACAGTATTTTTCCAAAGCTTTCAGCTTTAAACCAAGATAGATGAACACTGAACTCTTACAAACAATGTGCCTTACTTGCCTTAATGGAGCCTGTGGAAGAGGAGGAGGAGGAAAGATTCCATAAGGAAAGACCATCCTCAGGAGCAGAGCGGGTGGCGTCACCCAGAGGTACAAAAGCCTGTCCTACTTGTCTGCAGGCCCAGTCCGTTTAAAGAGGCCTCATCACATTCACTGGAGTCAGCTGTGATGGCCCAGTGGGCTTCTACGCCCATCTATCCCTCTCAGTCCAGAAAAAACTACGGCTGAGGTTGGAAGAACGTCCCAGAAGAACAGGTAACCTCTCAGCTCCCTTCCAATTCTGACATTCCTCAACTCTTACCTTTCTTATGCTTACGTGTCAGCTTAACTCTGGAAACTGGTACCTTGACCTTGTGCATTATTCCAGCATGATACTACTTTCTGTGAATGTGCCGGGACTTCGGCTTATCTGTGGAGGTACTAGCCCTTGTCTTTTACTGTCACCCACCCAAGTCAAGGCCGGCCTAAAGCACAGGTGGCATCTGAGCACTGGTGGCCCTAAAGCGGCAGGGCTGTTCCTGTGGCAGCACACAGTCTGTAACCAGCGACTCTGACTGTGGCGAGTGCTGAAGCAGAGGTTTCTCAAGACGCCGTACTCGGTTAAGGCCATGAAAACAGCCTGACACAGAAAAACAATTTCCGATGCTTCAGCTGTACAGATCATTGAATTTATGGATGGTCACTTTTAAGCCAACTCTTTATTCTCATACTACAAAAGCCTTTATTTTCACCTCTAACGTTCCCTTCTAGCAAATGACCACAAAATCCAGACCAGAAAACTTGCCGGTCTGCCATGCACAGTCCCGGAAGCACTTGCTCTGTGTCCTGTGGAAGTCACCCCCTACCTGGGAAGGAGGGGCTGACAGAGCCCTTGTCAGCAGAGAGGTAGTGCTTGCTTAAAAAGTAAACGGGCTGTTTCCCACGCACTGTGACTTCACAGCTGACCGGTGGCACTTGGTTTCATTGGCAAGTTTCCAGTATCTCTCTCGCAACAGGAATGCTGCACTTTTCGGTTGTCTCTGACGAGTGAAGATCCCTTTTCTATTCCCTATCGGCCTCTGTGGTGCTAAAAACAAGGCAAAAGGTATTTCAGATGACTTCTGATGGGCCAAATCACAACCAGCCTGGAGCCAAGCTGGGCACTAAACAGAGAGGTCCTCATGGTTTAGAGATGCTTGGTCTGAAGTGGTATCTGATGAAGTGGCCCCTTAACGGGTTAAAGATTTAAATACCACTGCTCCCCAAAAACACTTAGCTCCCTGGTGTGTTAATTTTTCTTCTGTTAGGGAAATAATCCAAAATTATTTATCTTTTACTTGCAAAATAAGGTTTAAGACATTATGGGTACCCACCTGCCTGGTAACTGGAGCAGGGCTGAGACAAAGTTCCCCTTGGAAAGGCTTGCGCCTCTCTGAGGAGACAACTGTGCTAGTGGGAGCCAGAGACTTGACCAATCACAGGCGCCTAAGAGGGAGCTACTCGTAGATTTTAAAGTCCCGTTGGGTAGACTTCCAGCTGGGTCCCCACCCCTGGTGGCAAGTCCGCCAGAGCTGGAGCTGGGAAAGGAGCAACTACACTCCCAGCGAACCCCTCCATCTCCTAGAGAAACCACCGCATCTGTTAAATGGAAAGCAGGTCTTTCCCACTAGAAAAGCTCAAGACAACAATAATTTCTTCCACGAAAAGCAAACGGCAGGCACTGTGCCAAGCGCTTCGTCAAATGGAATCCCTGTGTCAACCTGCAAGGTGGTAGGCGTTAGCCCCACTTTACAGGCTCTAATTATACCTTGTACAATGTCACACAGCTAATTCCTTACTATGCAAAGCAGTGCACCTAGTCACAAAACTAGACTTCCATCCAAGCTTATTTCCAGGAGCTGTTAATCTCATTTGCCAAAAGCAGAGTGGAGGCTCATGCTCCCTCTTTTTTTCTTCACCTCTCCCATTCGGATTTTTAATTAAACCTTAATCTTCTAGGGACTTCCCTCGTGGTACAGTGGTTAAGACTCCGTGCTCCCAATGCAGGGGGCCCGGGTTTGATGCCGGGTCAGGGAACTAGATCCCACATGCATGCTGCAACTAAGAGTTCGCATGCCACAACTAAGGAGCCAGCGAGCTGCAACGAAGGAGCCTGCCTGCCACGACTGAGACCCGGTGCAACCAAATAAATAAATAAAAATATATCAAAACAAAACAAAACAAAACTTTAACCTTCTAAAAACCTGTCTTTCCCCGTAAGTAATGTAATGTAATTCCCACTACTACCAAATGCTTCCCTTCCTCCCCAGATTGCTATCCTAAGTTTATGGTATATCAAGAAGCTAGTTACCTAGAGGGATAGAAAGAAATGGGAAACTCATTTGGAACTTTTGTGAAGTAGCCCTCATTATCCCCACCTGAGAAAGGACAGATCGTATTCACCTTGAAGGCTTTTAAACACTCCCACTTGCAAAACCTTTTGACACTTAACCTGTATTTGGCAAACTTGCCTTTTATAAGTGAATAATATAAAACAGACTAAAATATCTGAAGTTCCTCGGGCTTTGTACCTTATTCTGGAATAATGAGTATATCCCACAAATAAATCCAGTACGAGGTCCACTTTTTCCTCATACTGTGGTGAAACACAGAGGTAAGCTAGCCACCTCTGCCTTGAGATGGTAGCTTCTCCCATTTGCTTGTTTACCATAAAATGAATTAGGCAGCCAGCAAGTGACGGCTGCTTGCTAAAAGCAACTTACTTTTCCTAGGGAATCCTCTATGTAGCCTGCATTGATTACATCAGCTTTGCCCTCTCTTGTTTCCAGGGTTCTTACAACCAAACGTCCTGAACTAAAATGCCAACCTGAAAAAAAGAGAAGGGGTACATTCCGTGCACCGAACTCTGCCACTTACACTGGTCAGTCATAAAATCAGCAAAATTCCAGATGAGCTCTCCAACCACATATTCTTTTCGTTTTTGATCCAGAACCACGTGATACTGCTCAAGCAGGCCTTTCTGGTACTCTTCACTGAACATCAGAGGTGGGTCCTGGAAGTCAAGGCAAAGAGAACTTAGGACTCAGAACAAGCAGGACTGTAAATGTTAGATAAAAATAAAGATCCACGTGATGACCATGGTGGGCTATGGTGACTGCAGGACTTGCTGATGCTGGTGTAGGGACACAGCCAGGGTATGACATAGCCCAGGGTGAAAAAAAAAACACACCTTAATTAGTAACTGTTTTTTTTTTTGGCCACACTGCGTGACATGCAGGATCTTAGTTCCCTGACCAGGGATTGAACTGGGGCCCTCGGCAGTGAAAGTGCCAAGTCCTAACCACTGGACCACAAGGGAATTCCCATAAACAGAATTTAATATTTGCTTTATCTTTAACGTCTCTATTCCCCAGTGCAGTCTTAAAGCTGAACTACACTAGGAGTAAAAGTATGTCTCTGGATAATAAATTTAAAACTCAAGTTTGAAGTAGCTGCCAGTGCATAATTTGAGAACTAGTGTGACTCAGATTTAACTCGCCTTAGATTCATCTGTATCTCTTCTGGGTAAGTAGCTGCTGTTTAGCCCATTCATCCATTCAACAAATAATTATTTAGTATCTGCTTATATGGCAGGCATTGGAGACAAAGTGACAAACTAGAAAGATAGGGCCAGGGAACTAGATCCTGTATGCCACAACTAAAGATCCTGTGTGCCGCAGCGAGGATCCCAAGTGCCACAACTAGGACCTGGCGCAGCCTAAATAAATAAATAAAAATAAATAAATAAATAAATAAATATGCTATTATAGGGAAAAAAATGCAATTATAGGGACTTCCCTGGCAGTCCAGTGGTTAAGACACTGTGCTTCCACTGCACCACTGCAGGGGGCACATGTTCGATCGATCCCTGGTCGGGGAACTAAGATACTGTATGCCTCGTGGCACAGCCAAAAAAAAAAAAGATACAGAACGACAACAGTGAAAGCTACTATACACCGAAGATATGACTGTACCACTGAGCCCTGTTTTGTTGCAGTTCCAAAGCAGAATTTGAGGGCAGGGCAAGATGTCGAGTTCCTTCTCTGTTTTAATGGAAATGACTCTGCCTTGTCTAACGCTATCCACATGAGGTTATTTAAATTTAAAACTACTTTAAACTACATCAGTCATGTTTGTCACGTTCCAAGTCCTCAAAAGTCACACGTGGCAGTGGCTCCTGTTCTGGACGGTGCAGGTCTAGACCATTTCCATCACCACAAAGGCACTATCAGAGAGTGCTGACCCAGACTCTTTCAGAATTTCCTTTTTAAAAAAAAATCTTTATTGAATTTGTTACAGTATTGCTTCTGTTCTATGTTTTGGTTTCTTGGGCGGGAGGCATGTGGGATCTTAGCTCCCGGACCAGGGATCGAACCCACACCCCCTACATTGGAAGGGGAAGTCTTAACCACTGGACCACCAGGGAAGTCCTTTTCAGAATTTGTTAAAAATTCAGAGTTGGTCACCTTTTCAAAGAGGGAGAACAAATGTACATACTTTGTCTTCATAAGATACTTCCCCCTACATTAGCAGTCTGTCCAAGTGGCACTCTGTGCAGGCAAGATGAATTTAAGGGTGTGAACAGAATAAGGGAGTCCATTTGGGTTACTGTTCAACCTACTAAGGATCAGCAAATGAAGAAATGTGTCAACAAGGAACCCCAGCCATTGTGACAGGTGTCGGCTGGCTGGGGTTCAAGAATCCACATGAAAACAATCCCCACAAAACAGCCTATCTTTGGTGAGGAAATGGACAAAACAAGGAGAAAAAGCTAGTGATTAAACCTTGCTCCAACGACTTCCCTGGTGGTCCACTGGTTAAGACTCCATGCTTCCAATGCAGGGGGTGTGGGTTCAATCCCTGGTCGAGGAACTAAGATTCTGCATGCCGCGCGACGCAGCCAAAAAAAAAAACTCCCCCCAAAACCAAAATCTTGCTCCAAGATCTCACTCATTCCCTTAACAAGTATCATTTAGCACCCGCTGTGTGCCGGACCCTGCTGAGTGCTTGGGAAGCAACAGTAAATAGGATTTAGTCTCCCTCCTGGAGCCCTCGGCCTGGTCAAGGAGAGAGCCAAAGAGATCATGACAGTGCACAGTGAGAAATGCTGAGACAGATGGAGCAGGGGGAAGAGTTTCCTCTGCCCGGGCAGGTGGGGTAAACCTCACCAAAGAGGGGCTACCTAAGCTGAGGCTCTAATGCTGAGTAAGAATCCATTAGTTGGGCTTCCCTGGTGGTGCAGTGGTTAGGAATCCGCCTGCCAATGCAGGAGACACGGGTTCGAGCCCTGGTCCGGGAAGATCCCACATGCTGCGGAGCAACTAAGCCCATGTGCCACAACTACTGAGCCTGTGCTCTAGAGCCCGTGAGCCACAACTACTGAGCCTGCGTGCCTAGAGCCCATGCCCCACAACAAGAGAAGCCATCACAATGAGAAGCCCGCGCACCGCAACAAAGAGTAGCCCCCGCGAGCCACAACTAGAGAAAGCCTGTGGCGCAATGAAGACCCAATGCAGCCAAAAATAAATACATACATACATACATACATAAATACACAAATAAATAAGTAAATAATCCTTTAAAAAAAATAAAAGAATCCATTAGTTGATGATTATGGTGCTAAGAAGGGCACTCTAGGTAGAAGGAACAGGCCAAGCCAGAGCAGAAGCCAGTGAGCACAGTGAAAACAGGCCAGGGTCCAGGACTGAAGGCAGAGGAGGATGAAGACCTGGGAGATGGCACAGGGCAAAGGATGTTGACAGCCCCGACCACAGATTAGGGCTTCGTCCTGTGGGCCAGGAGAAGCCAGTGACGGGACTCCCAAGGTTTGAATTTGTTCCAAAGACCATTTGGGCAGCTAGTGGGAGGCTGTCTGAGGACCACTCAAGTGAGGCAGAGGCTGAGTCCAGGGCAGCCATGTGGAGGGGTAGGTTAAGGTGAGCCTGGTGAGCTATAGGAGGTGATCAGGACAAGTGAGGGGCCGGGAAGGAGGCACCTTTCTAGCCTGGGGCAGTGAATGACATCAATGTCCAGGAGAGTGAAAAAATAACTCAAATGTCTACACTACTTACCTCGTGAAACCCTGTGATGGTTTCTGCTCCGTACTCGCTCTGAATAATTGGCTTCTGGTAGGTCTTATACCAGCTCTCAAACTGGGTTGCCAGCTGCAGCTGAATCACTTCCATGTGCCCGTAGTCATGATACCAGGAGTAGTAACTGTTCACACAGATGACATCCACATATGGCACCTGGAAGAGTGTTAAAACGTGTTCACGAACCAGGCGAGTGTAGGATAGCGTTCGGACTTACACTTGGGCGGGGGTGGTGGCACTTCTGGCACAGGAGGTAAGAAGGGGACACAGAAACGAGTTAGGGGACTTCCCTGGTGGCGCAGTGGCTAAGAATCCACCTGCTAATGCAGGGACACTGGTTCGAGCCCTGGTCTGGGAAGATCTCACATGCTGTGGAGTTACTAAGCCCATGTGCCACAACTATTGAGCCTGCGCTCTAGAGCCCACAAGCCACAACTACTGAGCCCACGTGCCACAAGCACTGAAGCCCACGCGCCTAGAGCCCATGCTCCACAACGAGAAGCCACTGCGATGGGAAGCCCGCGCACCACGACGAAGAGTAGCCCCCGCTCGCCACAACTAGAGAAAGCCCACGCGCAGCAATGAAGACCCAATGCAGCCAAAAATAAAATTAATTAATTTTAAAAAAGAAATGAGTTGGATGCTCACCCGTATAGAACATGGAGTTAGAAGAGACCTGAATGGAACAAGTCTCTTAACTCTGGGCTGGCGCCCCTGACCTGGCTGCAGCTGGGCTCAGGGGAGGGTGCCCAGCGCGCTGGCCCCAGTGGAAGCCCAGGGCCCATCCCAAGCCGACTGTGTTCCTCTTTAGGTTGTGCTCCTGTCCCTGGCTGTCCCCCTGGCCCTGGAGAAGTGTTCCCAACTAAGGGACAAAGGCAGTTCTTCTCACAAAGGCTCTTGATTCACCTTCCTGAGCTAGTACTCGGGACCATAAAGTGGCTGGAAAATTCCCTCCTAGGAGGGTAGCCCAGATGATGGGGCGGGACTGCCTCAAATCTGAATGGTGTGGTGCTCAGTGGGCAGCAAAGCTCACCGGAACCCACACTCACCTCCAAAGTCTGCATTGTGACTGTCGTGGTCCATCTTTCCCAAGTGACCTCGGCACCTTTCCGAACTGGTGGCCTCTGGGTGGGCACATGACCATGACCATGGCTCACACACCCCACCAGGTGAGCCTGGCAACCTTCTGGGGGGACTGGCACAGACTCCCCTGCCCACTAGAATGGGAAGGGACACTACTTGGGCTCTGAGAAAGTCCAGGTCTGCCTGTGTCACACTGGTATTTGACCACAGTCTTCACACTCCTTCAAGGGGGTGTCGTCGAGGGATGGCACAGGAACACCAGGGCTACAAACTGTCCCATCTATGTCAAAATGACAGTGCTCACAATTTATACTTGTGCATAGCGTTTTCTCATCCATTCTTTCTCCTTTACATGATTTCTCTCTCTGGAGCACTTTAGTACTGGCCTCAGTTCTCTAGCGGAGGAGCATCTTCTTGCTCCCATGTTTTACAGCTTCCGTGCAACTCAACACGGCTTCCGAGGGGCTGCTGCACCCAGGGACTGTGAGGGTGGCTGTGGGGTCTGGCCGGCTGTGTGAGCCTGTTCCTTTGATTCTCAATCCCAGGGTCTGGATCTAGTCTAGTCTAGTCCGGTTCCCAAAGCTGGGTTGATGACTGGAATCACTGAGGAGTTTTTTAAAAACTCAGATTCCCACCCTGGACTTTACTAAATCAGAATCTCAGAATCCAGATATCTACACTTTCAAAAAGCTTCCCTTAGTGGTTTTGACCATCAGCCAGGTTTGAGAAACACGGGACGATGATGATTTTAGGCTCCCTTAAACCTCCACCCTTTTCTGAGCCTATTAAATTGAGGTGCATAAAAACTGATGCGTCTGAACTGAGAATGAATTCGACCTCCCTGTGCCCAGCCTCCTTAGATTCAAGAAGCCACACTGCCTGGCAAATCAACGGGCAGTCCTCTTTAACCTAAAGACCAACTATGGAAATGGCTGGACTGGCTGCTTGTGGTCCCTCCCAGCGGCTCATGTCAGCAAGCATCTGGGCAGGATGAGAGGACAGGCAGAGGGGAGACGTGGCATGGAGACCCCCAGGCTCACCCCCAGGTCTGCTTCATAGTTGGAGTTGGTCACAAAGGTCACGGGCCGGGAGGGATCCAAGGCTTTGGTGTGGGCAATCAGCGTCCTGTCCATGGAGGGCAGAAGACACGGCACCGTCAGTCAGTCCAGGGAGGACTCTCATCCCGCATCCTCTCCTTCTCATCTTCCCAGCCAAAAAGACCCCCAAGACACCGCTCTCCTGCCTGCCTTCCAGTGTATTTCAGGTAAGCAAACATGTTCTTCTAGGCATCACGTTCCCTGACATCATTCTTTCCTCCTTCCTCCCTCCCCAGTTCCTAGTCCCCCACCCCTCCCAGAGGAGAGGCCATCCTCCCGGGGCGGGAGGCACAGAGCAGAGCTCCTTGGGCTGGGCACTGCCAAAAGCTGGGCTCTGCATCTCTGGCGAAGCTCTTGAAAATAGGACGGGGTGTGGATTAGGATGGATATTAACTTAGCACGTAAGTCGGAGGCTGGGAGGCAGGCTGTGCGCTGGGCACTCACTAGAGACTTAAACAGCCGTGAAGCTCCATGGAGCGAAACCACACAGGGGAATGTAACAAATTATAAGCGCTGGCGGGAATTATGAAGGGGAAGCATGGGGTTCTATGAGACTGTAAGGCGGCACATCCCCGAGACCAGTCAGTCAGCACAGCCTCTCTGAAGACACGGCATTTACGCTGAGTCCTGCTAACCGAGGAGGGGTGGCGAGAGGACGCTTCCCAACAGAGGGGCCGGTCTGTGGTCAGGGCTCAGCCTCCCCAGCGCAGGTCACCCTCACTCACTGTTTAAGCCTATTTTCCTCTTCTGTTTCCTCACAGCTGGTTTTCTTTTCCTTGACACCCCCCCCATTATAACTCTTCTCACTCGAAGGCTGTCGTTTCCACAGGCCAGGACAGTGCCTCGCGACCTGCAAGTCCCTAACCCACTGTCCGAAACAGCCTGGCTGTCACCTGGGGAGCTTCAAAGCCCAGCCAAGCGCCTCCGGCCCAGGCAGCCCTACTTACATCCTGCCCCATCCCCACTGCTCCCAAATCAAGCCTCTCCTTCTCCGCACCTCCCAAAAAGGTGCACAGGAAACCTCAGGCACCTGCTCCTGGAAGCTTATCATCCTTTCACGCTCACAGAAAAAATTCCGTCCACCAGCCTGGCTCAACATCCCTGTGCCACGTGCTCTGGGGCTGTGTGTCTAGAGCTCAGCTTCACCCAGGTGGGTCCACTCCTCAGAGCCTCCATCCGGGACACTGGGATGCAAGCAGTGTCTGCCTCAGGGAGTATTTCCATGGCTTCTGCTGCCTCTACAGGAAGTGAAATAATTCCCCTCTCCAGGCTACACTACAACTGCATGATCATTAAGAAAGAGAAGGAACGAAGGAACACCCCGAAGGGAGCCAGCCCAGGGTGGGGCGATGACCCCTAAGTGGGATTTCTGTCCACAGCAATGCCTGGGGGGTGGGGGGAGCTACTGGCATTCAGTGAACGGACCACGAACTTTAGATGGCCTGGTCCCATCCAACAATGTAACTTAGAATGGTTAGAACATGCACGTCATTTCAAACCTGTTTATAATTACATGCCTAGGTAAGCTGGCTTTATAAAGTTTAATTCCCCTTTACAGATGAACCCGAAGCATCACAAAGTAGTTTTGTGCAGTTTTAACACGCACTAAATTTCCCAGGAACGGAGATACCATAAAAATCGAGGGAAGACTATACTTGGTTTTGGTTGCAACTTTACCTGGGGTGGCTCAGTATTTTAGAAGAGGGCAGCACTGAAGAAAACGCTGCTCACGGCATCAGAGTCACCAGCTATGCTTTCCAGCCCCCATCATCAGCTTTTGTAGCTGTGCTTTCAGGGAGATGCCACATCTAGATGCAAGCTCCTGACCCCTTCACTGCATCTTCTGGGGAGTCAGGCCCATGCACTCACGGATTATTTTACAAATGACTCTCTCTTATACTATGGTTAGGCCACATCACTATTTTTTTTTCTTTCTTAACTTGAAGTTATGTGTATAAGTAGGTTAGGTTAACTCTGGATTTCATTTCAGGTGTGTCAAGGAGACACTGGGTTGAAATCACGATCTGGGTGGGTGGGTACTTGGTCCCCTGAACTGGCCAGGTATGGACGCACCTGGGCTGGGAGCAGGTGCTGACCCTCTCACAGCCCACACCCACCCCAGGGCCCACTGCAGCTCTCCCGCAGCTACCAGCCGAGGCTGAGCTGGGCCAGCGAGCTGAGGTCTCACCCCTGACCCAGGGAAGGCAGGGGCACTCACTTAAAGTAGTAACCAGCTGGTTTCAGGAAGGAAGCAGGCTCGTTGGCCACAGACCACATCACAACAGACGGGTGATTCTTGTCCCTGCGGACCATCTCCTCCATCACCTCCAGGTGGTGCTGCAGAGACACGTTGCTGTAGCTCTGGCTGCGGGGCCGGGGAGGAAAGGGAGCGGGTCACAGGGCGCCAAGCTGGGCGGTCTGGGCTGTGCGGCTGGCGGGCACTCACGCCAGCACGATGCCCACTCCAGGACTCTCGTCGATGACCACGATCCCATAGCGGTCGCAGAGCTGCATCACCTCCTCTGCGTAGGGGTAGTGGCTGGTGCGGAAGGCATTGGCGCCCAGCCAGCGAAGCAGGTTGAAGTCCTTCACCAGCAGCGGCCAGTCAAAGCCCTTCCCTCGGATCTAGGGGACAGCACAGCAGAGAGCCCCTGCCCCCTGTCCCCGTTGAAGATGCCCTTCCTTCTAGAGCTGGGCCCCTCAAGAGTCACCCTGTTAGCCCGCTATCCAGGCCAAGCACAGGCCCCATGAGGCAGTGGTTTTGAGCGGTTTGCTTAACTGCTCTGAGCTGCCCTCAACCACTTCAAGGGACACGGAGGAAGGGATGGCGAGAAATGGCCCCCCCACAGGGACTCAGGAGCCCCAGCTCACGTCTGCATCCTCATGCTTGTTGACCCCGTGGAAATAGAAAGGCTTCCCGTTGATGAGGAACTGGCTCTGTGTGACAGCCACGGTGCGGATCCCCACGGGCAGGGTGTAGAAGTCAGACACAAACCCAGCAGCCGTCTGTGCGGTCAGCTTCACCTGCAAAAGCCAAGCACTGGGCATGAGGATTCCTGGACGGCCTGAACACAACGCAGCCCGCGCTTCGGCAGGATGGCCCCTTGCGAACCACGGCAGCCCACCTCTGGAACAGCAGGTAGAGAGACGCAGGAAGTACAGGCATCCGCCATGAACAAGAAGGAACTCTTACGGAGACCTACTAGAGAACCGACTTGAGGATACGGGGAGGGGGAAGGGTAAGCTGGGACAAAGTGAGAGAGTGGCATGGACATATACACACTACCAAATATAAAATAGACAGCTAGCGGGAAGCAGCCACATAGCACGGGGAGATCAGCTCGGTGCTTTGTGACCACCTAGAGGGGTGGGATAGGGAGGGTGGGAGGGAGACGCAAGAGGGAGGAGATATGGGAACATATGTATACATATAGCTGATTCACTTTGTTATAAAGCCGAAACTGACACACCATTGGAAAGCAATTATACTCTAATAAAGATGTTAAAAAATTAAAAAAATTAAAAAAAAAGAAGGAACTTTTGCCCACCCTGCCCCTGGGGCCTGCTCTTCAAACTGGGCCTCCCCAACAAGGGCTGCAAAAAAGCAGGCTGGGGACTCTTCAATCCAACTGACTGGGAAGATCAGAGGACCAGGCCTGCTGAAGCCAGAGCTGCTGGATGGGGGAAAAAGGCCTCCCACAGCCCAGTCCTCACCACCATTACCTCCAACGAGTACAGGTAGGCAGGGTGCTCGTGCATCAGGTACGGCCACCAGAGGTGGGCACTGGGCACCTGCAGCTGGCCCCGGCCCCCTGTCCCCTTGGCCACGACCATGCCTTCCTCATCCAGAAGACAGACTTCCAGCTGGAAGTGCTCACTGCCCTGGACGACGATCTGGTAATTCACCAGCCCTGCAGGAGACAAGACAGATCAGACAAGAGAGAAAAGGGAGGGATGTGACCTGGGGTCACACAGATGACAGTGCCCTGAGGCCACCTTTCTGAGGAGCCCCTAGCTGCCAGCTGTTTATTTCTTGAGCTTAATCTGCAGCGAGGGGAGATGAAGTGAGGGCGGCACAGTGGGGAGGGGACATGGGGTTCTCCTGCATCCTGGGCTGTTATTCACCACGAGCTATGATTTGAGGCAAGCCCCACTTCCTCCCAAAGTGAAGTCAGAGCAGATGGGTGATTTCCGCAGCCCCTGCCAGCTCGGACAGGCTGGATTCCAGCTCGGACAGGCTGGATTCCAGCTCAGACAGGCTGGATTCCAGCTGCTGAGGTGGATGGGACAGTCTTTCTCCTAGGGGATCTTTCCAAACAGGGAACAAAGCCGCTGGGGGCCTGGCTGACGGCAGACCCTGCCAGGAGCCTCACCAGTGTCTTGGTCCACGTCGGTGGTGACGGTGATGTCATCGAGGTAGGTGGTAGGCGTGGTGTAGAGGAGCACAGTCCGATGCAGTCCCGCGTAATTGAAGAAGTCAAAGTTTGTGTTCTGGACAAAGTAACCCTTGGGGTACCTAGGATGGGAGGACAGTGGCCTTGCCCTGGGTCCTTCGACCTCAGCTCACACATCTCCCTGGCCTCCCAGAGCCAGGGCCTCACCTCTGTTAAGGCCACCCTGCCCCTGACGGGAAGACCACTGGGCAGAGCGGGGAGGGGGGCGAGGTGCTGCTCACTTGGAGGTGTCCGTCTTGTAGAGGATGGTCCCTGGCGGCAGGGTGTTGGGGGAGAGCGTGTTGTTGATGGCGATGGTAATGCGGCAGGAGGACAGGGGCCCACTCTGGACCAGCTTGCTGATGTCAGCCTCGAAGGGGAGATGGCCCCCCTCATGCTCTGCCACATGGACCCCATTCACCCACTGCAGACACAGGGATACATGAGGAGGGGGCCCTGCCATCTCAGGCGCTCCCTCACGCAGAAGTGCAGTATGGGGGGAGCGGGTGGGACAGGCTACCAGCTGCCACCCGCCTCAGAGGTGGAGGGAGGGAGCTCTGGGGGAATAGATGAGGCCACCCTCTCCACCCAGGGCACAAACCCCAGTGCGGGGCAAGAGTGTGCCCCCCACCCCGCGGGCACCGCAGGAGGCAGGCTGCCAGGTGACGGCTGGGAGCCAGGCACCCTACTTGCTCCGCCTGCTGCTCGCTGCACTGACCACGATGGCGTAGTAGTGGGCGCTGCCGATCCTCAGCACCACTCTTGTGCCCAGGTCCTCGGTCCATCGCTGGGGCAAGGTGGCCTCCCGTTCATACCACACCCAGCCAACGAAGCTCCGCAGCCGCCCATCCTGGCCCACGTCGTTGAAGCTGGAGGGAACCGGCATGTCCAGGCTGGGGCCCGACTGAGGAGACAAGGACCGGAATCAGGTCCAGATCACCTGGGAAGCTAAGGGGCCCTCCCCAGCAACCCCACTTACAGGAAGAAGCTGGACGAGCTGACTTCTCCCAGACCCTCCTGGATTCCAGGCCACCCCACCAGCAACTGACCAATGTCTTTTACGGACTCATTTAATTTTCGCGACTCCATGAAACAGACCCAGTCACGCACGCACTCACTCAGTGGTGCACAGTGAACACCTACATGCTGTTTTAGGCGCTGGGAATGAAAGAGTGAACAAGGCCTCTGCTGCCAGGTAAGCAGCTCTACGAAGAGAGCGTGGAGCATGGCAGGGGGCTATCTTAGGGGCCAGGGAAGGCCTCTGGGGGCCAGGGCCCCTGAGATACGACCTCTGGACGTCCCAGCAGAACCAGGTGAATCTGAGCCCCGCAGGGAATCCCCTGAACCTCTGCACTCTTGAACACCTCAGGGAGACGACAAGGCAGGAGTGGGGCAGAGAGCTCAGTGAGTCTGGAAGCAGCCTGGGGAAGAGCTTCCTGAAGACACACGTGACCTACAAGGAAACAGGGATTTCCTGTCCCTCACAGCTGTCTGCCCAGCTTCTGGCACAAGCCCTGCCACATAGTAAGGACTCAACAAATATTGGATGAATGGATGGATAACTTGCTGATGAGAGACCAGCTGCTAGGATGCTTTGTGTCCAAGGTCTGGTGAGGCCATAAGTTCTTTCTCAGGGTAGCGGGCAGCAGGCACCAGGGTCTCCATGGAATGGGGTGAGCCTATGGCCACAACCAGCCTAGGGCAAGAAGGATCTGCAAAGTCAATCTAGACCCTGACTAAGAGGAAGATGACCAACTGACTGCCCCAGGGACGGAGGAAGGCTGGCCGGGGCGCACGGGCCGCTTTGCTGAGGAAACTCTGAGTTGCGCAAGAAGTGCCTGGCACCAGCCCCCGCCCGCCCCTTTCTTCCTCCGCTGATGAGGGCTGGGCGGCAAAGACTTTAAAAAGAGGATCTAAAAAATAAAAAAATTTAAAAAAATAAAAAAAATAAAAATAAAAATAAAAAGAGGATCTAAGTGAGGTGAGTGTCGGATGGGCACACAGGCCTGCCCCTGCTCCAGTTCTCAGCGCACACGATCCAAGTCAGAGGGGAGACCTAGAGGGGGATCCTCGGCTGGACACCAAGCCCCATCCTCTAGCTGAACCTTGTAAACCAAGGTCCTTCCTGCCAGGGCAGAGCTGGCCCCAAGACGTCCAAAGCCTCCCCTCCTGCCACTGAGCACCCACCCGCCCCCAGGTCGGTGCCGGGACACTGTTCCGGCTCTGCCTCCCCCACCGACATCGGGCCCGCCCATTTCCTCGTTCCCGGTCACTCTCCGGGTGGATCGACCCCACGCCCCACAGGCCCGTCCATCTTTAACCTCCTCCTGGCCGGCAGTTCCGAGGGCTCAGGGGAAGGCACCCCACACCCCCGACCCGGCTTCCAGGAGCTTCCCTGCCCTGGTCCCCGTCCCCAGAGCCCGCACCTCCCGCAGCGGCGTCCGGTACCACTGCTGTTCGAAGCCCTGGCGCCGGTTCTGGGAGAAGTCGGCGCGGAACCTCCAGAGGCCGTCCAGCTCCTTGCGCTCCCGCGACCGGCTCTCCCGGGGGTAGAGCATCCCGCCCTGCAGCAGCGCCAGCCCGCAGCCCCAGAGCAGCGCGCCTAGCACGGCCCAGGTGCCCGCCAGCCCCCGGAGCATGGCTCCCGCGGGCCCCTGGCTGCCAGCAGCCCCGCGCCCGGTGCCGTTAGCGCGGGAGGCGGGGCCGGGGTGGAGCCTGAAGTCACGTGTCCCGCCCCCCGCGCCATTTTCGTTGAAGTCGATTGCGCTGTCGGGGGTCACCCCGCGAGGCCCGCGCCCACAAGGCCGTTCCAGGCCCGCCTTCCTGACGGAGGGCGGCGGCGGCGGGGGAGGGCCCGCGGGGAACCCGGGGTGGGCGGAGTTCGCAGGCTCCGCGCCCGCGAGGTCACTGCGGTCCTCCGCACTCCCCCGCCCTCCGATACCCGGCTGCTCGCGTCCAGGGCGGCTGGTCCAGGGCCGCGGGCCGCAGAGAAAACCGGGAGACGGCCGGGTTACCACTGATGCTTCAAGGAGACCGACCTGGGATACCTCCACTCGCTTATGCTTGCGGGACACCGGTGAGCTCAGACGAAGCCTCAACATGCCCAGTGACTTTCGCGCAGGCCCACCTGGCTTATAGCCTTGACCCTGGGCTTCCACCTGCGGTCCCCTGGGCCCCGAACCCCTACCCAGGGGCCCGGCGCTCCCTCTTGGCATTGCGGATACACACATAAAGATGCAAGGAGCGGGGGTCTATGGTACCGGTAACCTGGCCTGGATGCAATTGTTCGTACAATTACTCTATTTTTAATTTATTAATTTTTGCTCTGATTTCATGTTCACCAAAGCAACCTTCTGGTAATGGACCTTGACGCCGTAAAAAAAGTAGTTCCCAGGGTGGTAAAAATAAATATATTGTAAGAAATGACAAGGCCTACACGTTTTTCTTTTCCCAAAATGCTTACCATATAAACATAAGAGACAGTAAGATGCAAAAGTATATATAGTATGATCCCAATAGTTCTAAAATTATATCCACACAGATCTAGATAGTTGTAAAGTGTTATTATGGGTGTTATAGATGATTTTCATTTTGTTCTTCGTATTTTCTGATTTTTTGAAAATTTCTATCATGAACATGCATTATTTTTATAATCAGAATCAAACCAATGAGCCTTTTAAAACTAGCAAATGGGCAAAAATAAGTAAAGGTCGATCTGCTTCTATAAATTAATAAATTGATTTTCCATTTGCGAGTCAACATATATATTTAGTTAGTACACGTTGATTTTCTTTTTTTTTTATTTTAATTTTTTATTTTTGGCTGCGTTGGGTTTTCGTTGCTTCATGCACGCTTTCTCTAGTTGCCACGAGCAGGGGCTACTCTTCGTTGCGGTGCCCGGGCTTCTTATTGCGGTGGCTTCTCTTGTTGCGGAGCACAGGCTCTAGGCGCGTGGGCTTCAGTAGTTGCGGCGCATGGGCTCAGTAGTTGCGGTCGCAGTGCGCAGGCTCTAGGGCGAGCAGCTTCAATAGTTGTGGCACGCGGGCTCTAGAGTGCAGGCTCAGTAGTTGTGGCACACGGGCTTAGTTGCTCTGCAGCATAACTTGGTTTCTGAACGTTTGAACCTGACGACCAGATCCTCATGGGTAAAGCCCATTGGCCAGTTTCCTTCCCCACTAATTTTGCAGCCTGGTACAAACATATGGATCTGGAGATGAAAATTTGGGAATTGTCAGCAGTGAGAATGGATAAGGTCACCAAAGAAATGAGTGCGGGTGGCGAACAGATTCACACATTAGCCCCAAGTCACCCCACATTATGAGTACAGGGGTTGAAGCATGGAGCATGGGGCTCAAACCAGTGACCTCTGCATTGGCAGGCGGATTCTTAACCACTGTGCCACTAGGGAAGTCCCTCAGAAGCTGTTTCTTTGCTAGAATATATCAACACAGCCTCTGGCATTTGATATGTGGCTAATGATGTGGTAAATGTCTTCTTTTCAATCCTCAGCAACAAGACAGGATCAAAAGCAGGCCGTAATTATATGGGGCAGTGGTAGACATTCACTGTCTAGCCCGAGGCCTACGCTGTCTTAATCCTCTGTCAGTATAGTCTACAGGGACCGTGCGTTCCACACAACATAATACTGGCCCAGACCAGTATGGTCCACACCACAGGCATCTCTCACCTGGATTGTAGCCTCTTCACTGATTTCCCTTCCGCCACACTTGCCCATCCCACCAGAGCAAGCAGAGTGAGTGGTCTTTATAAAAATTATACCATGTTATCTGGTTAAACAGTGGCTTCCCAGTACACTTTGGAGTAAAATTCAGACTCCTTACCATGGCCTTCAAGGGCCCGTGTGACCCAGCCCTGCCAGCTCTCACTCTTATTCACCATTTTGCAAACACTTGAGCCATTTTCCTGTTCCTCAAATGCTTCAGGCCCATTCCTGCTTTAGGGACTTTGCACACAATGCTCTCCTAGTTTCCCCTTTTTTGTGATTCAGGCATTGGCTTAAATGTCACCTCCTCATTGAGTTCTCCTCTGCCTACTTTAAAACTCAATTATAATAGTCAACCGTGGGACTTTGCTGGTGGTCCAGTGGTTGGGACTTTGCTGGTGGTCCAGTGGTTGGGACTTTGCTGGTGGTCCAGTGTTTAGGACTCCACACTTCCACTGGTTGGGGGAACTAAGATCCCACATGTCACAAGGTGCAGCCAAAAAAATAAAAAAGTTAACCATGGTAGTCGTTAGTGCTTTTCACCAAACATTTTTCTGGTCCTCCGCCTTTCTAGACACATGGTCTTTGCCCCTTTGAAGTTAGGTGTGACCATGTGGCTATTTTTGCCAAATGAGATTTTGATAGCAGAAATTTAAAAGCCAGTGCTGATCTGCCACATCCCTTTTTCCTGCCTTGGTGATCATGGAAGCATGTGTCCAAATTGAGCTTCCATCAGCCTGAATTCCTGAGTGACTGAGGGTGATCAGTGCTTCCCTTCCAACCTGTGATGGATGTGTGGCATGAGTGAGAAATAAACCTTTATTATTTCTACCACAAGCCATTACCTTATTCATCCTCATAACATTCTCTTTTAAGAAAGGCAGTGTCAAGGATCATGACCACAATTTTACAGATGGGAACACTAAGACACATGGAGCTAGCGACTTGCCAAGATCAGAGAAAAACCTGTAGCAAAATTTGGGGTAGAACTTGTGCTTTTATAAATTCAAAATCCTTTCCTATTTCTTCTCAATGATATGTCTCAAATTTGTCTTAACTTTAGCATTACTTTATCTATAAATTAGCATGTTTAGAATCATGCTAATGATCATAATCTAATTTTATTTGAGAAGTGTGCATCATGAATCTGGCAATTTCTAATAAAATAAATTATAAAATGGTAAAAAACGATTAAAAACACCTTTATTGTTTCAAACAACTAAGGTTGTGGGGTTGTTTGCTGTTACAGCATAACTAGCCTATCCAGACTTATATACTATAGAGCCGGGTACTTATCTGGGTGTTTTACATGTATTAACTCATTCACTTCTCACAACATGAAGTAGGTACTATTATTATTCCCATGTTACTAATACAGTGACTGAGAAAAGTTAAGTAAAGGGCAGAGGTAGAGTTTGAACCTGGTTAGAGATTTATACTCTTGGTCATTCTGCTATATGGCCTCTAAAAGACGTTCAAACTCATGTTTGAACAAGGGATTGACAGAGTCATGGGTTTTATTACATATTCATACATATATAGAGAAAAGGGAACTGCCGGTTTTCATCCTTAGAATGTGAGTGTGTGTGTGTGTGTGTGTGTGTGTGTGCGCGTGCGTATCTTTTAGGAATACAAGGATGTCACTTGATATATTGATTGCTATTTTAATATCAATACCAGGACAACAATTATCAAGTGTAACAACCAATTCGAATAACAAATTTTTTTTCTTTTTAAAAAATTTTTGGCCGTGCCACGTGGCTTGCAGGATCTTAATTCCCCGACCAGGGATGGAACTCAGGCCCACAGCAGTGAAAGCACGGCGTCCTAACCACTGGACCGCCAGGGAATTCCCTAGAATAACAAATATTTTAGAAGTTAAAGGTTATTTTTACAAGATCTGAAAATAAGTCTGAGTGTCTTAAAAAGACCCTCCCCCACCTTGTAGAAATACTTCCAAGGACTTTTTTTTTTAATTGTTTAAAACAAACTCTCTTGACGTATAGTCTACAAATAATGAAGTGCACGTGCATTCTAACTGTACAGTTTGATAAGGCTTGACAGATGTCTACACCTGAGTACCTACCAGCACTATCAAAATACAGAACAGTTCCATTACTCCAGGCAGCTCCTTCCTGACCCTGTCCAGTCTGTCCTGCCTCCACCCCTGACCCCAGGCAACTACTGACCGACATTGTGTCACCATAGAGTAGACTGGGCTTTTCTAGAGCTCCACATAAACAGAATGATATAGGGTGCTTTTCTGTGTCTGGTTTCTTTCATTCAGTATAATGTTTTTGAGATTCTCCATGTTATTGCACATGTCAATATGTCATTCCCAAGGACAGTTTTTAGTAACAGAAAATAACAAGTTTCTCTTCTGGGCAGAACTTTCATAACTATTCCCAATTCCATACGTTATTCAGGTAAGAGTCTTTGAACCAATTTTATGACCTGGAATGGTGTCTACCCTCTGCTGCTTGGAAACAGGAAATTCCTGAAATTCCTTTTCTCTTGCAACATTTTCAAAACTCAATACCAGCTTTCCATTAGCACCTAGAGAAAAGAAAGTTCCGGGGAGCTCCAAACCCACCCAATGGAAAGGAAAAAGGCAAAAGAGAATTCTAAGCCAGAGGAATAAGGGGCATGTAATGTTCTTCTCTGATACACCTGGTAGGGAATTCCCTGGCGGTCCAGTGATTAGGACTCCTCACTTTCACTGCTGAGGGAGCAGGTTCGATCCCTGGTCGGAGGAACTAAGATCCCACAAGCCGGCAGCACAGCCAAAAAAAAAAAAACAAAAAACAAAACGACACACCTGATAGAAGTTAGCACCTCTCCCATCACCTTCTCACCTCTCCCTGATCTACCCCTGACACTTCTCACGATCTGAAACGACTGTGCCCATTTCCTTTC